TCTAAATATATTTGCAAGCAACGCCTCTGATAACGGCCTAATACCGAAAATATACAAACTCATACAACTCAATAAGAACAACAACAACAAAAAAAAAACGATCCAATCAAAAAATGGGCAGAGGACTGGAACAGACGACACTTCTCCCAGGAAGACATACAAATGGCCAAAAAACATATGAAAAGATGCTCAACGTGGCTAGCTGCTCAACATTGCTAGCTATTAGGGAAATGCAAATCAAAACCACAATGACGCACCATCTCACACCTGTTAGAATAGCTGTAATCAACGGGACAAGTAATAACACATGCTAGAGAGGATGCAGAAAAAAGAACCCTTATACACTGCTGGTGGGACTGCAAATTGGTACAGCCACATGGAAAACAGTATGGAGGTTCCTCAAAAAATTAAGACTTGATCTACCACATGATCCAGCAATCTTACTGGGTATTTACCCTAAAGACTTAAAAACTCATATCCAAAAAGATATTTGCACACCGATGTTCATAGCAGCATTATTCATCGTGGCCAGGATATGGAAGCAATTGAAGTGTCCTACAATAGATGACTGGATAAAGAAGCTGTGGTACAAAATACAATGGAATATTACTCAGCCATAAGAAGAGACGAAATACTGCCATTTGTGACAATATGGATGGACCTCGAGATAATCATGCTAAGCAAAATAAGCCAGACTGAAAATGTTGAAAATCACATGATATCACTTATATGTGAGATATAAACCTAAAAGGAACAAATGAACAAGACAAACAGACTCTCATGGACACGGACAATAGACTAGTGGTTACCAGAGTGTAGGGGGCGGTGGGGAGGGAGATGAGATAAAAGGGGTCAAATATATGGTGACAGAAAGAAATCTAATTATGAGAGGGAGATGAACACACAATGTAGATATATATATGCCTTAGTGTTAAAATGTACAGCTGAAACCAGATTTCTTTAACCAATATCACCATAAAAAAATTTTTTAAAAAAACCAAAAACATCTCAACCAATGCCACAGAAACAAAGAATTATAAAAGACTACTGCGAACAATTATATGCCAACAAACTGTATGATCTAGAAGAAATGAATAAATTTCTCAAAATATACAATTTATCAAGACTGAATCATGAATAGAAAATATGTATAAGGAGATTAGATCTGTCATCAAAAACTTCTCAGAAAAGAAAAGCTCAGGACCAGATGACTTCCCTAGAGAAATCTACCAAACATTAAAAAACTTATGCCAAACCTTTTCAAACTTTTCCAAAACACTGAAGAGGAGGGAGTATTTCCAAACTCAATTTATAAAGTGAAACATAACGGTGATAACAGAGCCAGACATCCTGCCGTGAAAAAAGTCAATATCCCTTATGAAAACCGATGCAAACGTCCTCAACAAATACTAGCAAACAGCAGCGCATTAAAATGATTATACACTCCGATCAAGTGGGATTCATCCCTTGGTTAGAAGGACAAAAATTTGATTATTTCCTGTTAAGAATGCACTTTCACCAATACTAAATGGATATTGCTAAGATATAAAGTGAAAATATATTTTCCCTGTTGATCCATCCTACAATTCAACCGATCTTTGCCTTACTTAAGAAATGGGGGAGTGAAAGATGGAGGCCCACTATCTGACAATCTGATCATTCATGTTTGAGGAGCTTACTGGCTATTACTACCTTTTAAAATTTTGTTCCTTCATTTTTTATTTTTTAAGTTAAACTTATTGCAGTAACATTGGTTAACAGCATTATATGATCAGATGTACAATTTTATCATACATCATCTGTATATTGCATTGATCCTCACAATCTAAAGTCTAGTCTTCTTCTATCACTGTATGTTCCATCATCATCATCATCATTCTTATTATTTTGGCTTCATCTGGACCACTTACAATGGTCATTGTTTTAACCTCAAGCCACAAGTTTAAAATATCCACTATTGTTCTCCTATGCTTTGTCTTTAGTGCCCTTCCTGTAAAATTGAAGCATATAAATAAATTCTGTGATTAGATTTATATTGAAAAATATTCTCAGTCATAACACTGTTTTAACTGTTTTATTGTTACCAATGACTTTCTGGAACATCTGTTTTCTAAATAAAAGAAATATATCGTGTGGAATTAATTATTAGAAAAATCAATAAATGTAATACAAAACATTAACAAAATGAAGAAAATCATCTAATCATCTCCATTGATACAGAAAAGCCCTTATAAAATTCAACATTTTTTCTGATAAAAACACTCAACAGTCTAGAAAGAAAAGGAAATGTATCTAAACATAATAAAGGTCATCTATGAAAATTACACAGCTAATATGACAGTTTATGATAAACTTGAAATTAAAGAGTAATACACAGAAAGATATCCCGTGTTCATTGATTAGAATACTTAATATTGTTAAAATGTCCATACTACCCAAAAGCAATCTTCAGATTTATTGCTATCCTCATCAAAATCCCAGTGGCACTGTTATTACTATTCTTTTTTTTTTTTTTTTTGCAGAAACAGAAAAAAACCAACATAAAGTATTAGGAAAGCAGATACTCATATGCAAAAAAGTGAAGATAAACAATTATCTTATGCCATATACAAAAATTAATTAAAAATAGATAAAACACATAAATCTAAGACCTGAGACTATAAAACTCCTAAAAGAAAAAATAGAGAAAAAGATTCATGACACTGGAGTGAGCAATGATTTCTTTGATATGACACGAAAAGCAGAGAAAACAAAAGCAAAAATAGACAACCTGGACAACATTAAACTTAAAATTTTCTGCACAGCAAAGAAAACAATTTAACAGTGAAAAAACATGCAGAATCAAAGAAAATATTTGCAATCTTATCTTGGATAAGTACTCCTACAACTCAATAACACCAAAAAAACTACCCTATTCTTAAATAGGCAAAGAACATGAACAGACATTTCTTAAACAAAAATATACAAATGGGCCACAAGCATATGAAAAGATGCTCAACATCACTAATCATCAGGAAATGCAAATCAAAACCACAATGATAAGGTATTACTTTACACCTGTTAGGATGACCACTATTAAAAAATAAAATTAAAATAACAAATATTGGCAAGGAATTGGAAAGACTGGAACCTCCAAGCACTCAACAGTAAAATGGTGAAGCAGCTATGGAATAACAGTATGAAGGTTTTCTCAAAAAATTATACATAGAATTATCATATGATCCAGTAATCCCATGTCTGGGTATAATATGAAATAGAAAACACTATCTCAAAAAAATATTTGCACACCCATGTTCACTGCAGCATTATTCATAATAGCCAAGATATATAAGCAACCTAAATATCCACTGACAGATGAGTGGATCAAGAAAATGCGGTATGTACATACAATGGATTTTTATTCAGTCTCATGAGAGAAATCCTATCATGACAGAAAATGAAGTAATCCAATCACAAAAAAGACCAATGCTGCAATTCCATTCATATGAGGTATCTAGAGTAATCAAACTCGCAGAAACAAAGAGAATGGTGGTTGCTGGGACTGAGCAAAAGAGGAAACAGGGAGTTATTTTTCAATGAGTACAGAGTTTCAGACAGACAAGATAAAAAGAGTTCTAGAGACTTTACAACAACGTGCAGATAGTTAATACTGTAATGTACACTTTAAACTTGTCCAGAGAGTAAATGTTTTTAACACAATAAATGTGTTTAAATGTGTTTTTACCACAATAAAAATAAAATATTGATACATGCTATGTAAAAGAACCAAACACGAATATTATATAATTCCATTTCTATGAAATTGGGGAGAAATAAAGAGAGATTAATAAAGGGTGTAAAGTTTCATTCTGGGGTGATGCGAATGTTTCAAATTGATCATAATGATGGTTGCACAAGTCTGTGAATATACTAAAACCCCTGAAGTACAAACTTTAAAAAGTGTATTTTATGGTATGTGAATTATATCTCAATAAAGCTGTTAGAAAACAGAATCTACTATGGTAAGCAACTTTGAGAAATTTTATGTTTAAGAATAGTTTTATCCTCAATAACTACACTGTATTTATTAATATCTTGAAAGACTTGTTTTCCTTCTGTTAAGGTAGGATACCCCAGTACTTCATTCTCGAACCTCATTCCAGCCATGATGTTAAGACATCAAAGGAAGCCTAATGTTCAATAAAATCTATTTAAGCTCGGAGTTTCTCAATTACCTACTATTGAGTCCCCAAAAGTTCACAGATTTAAAAAGGTAGGAAACCTTTTTAAAAAATGTCATTGAAACTTACTAAAAGCAAAAGGAGAAAAAAAAAAAGCTTCTGATGAAACAATTTCTGAAAGTACATGGAAATCTGGTCCTCAAAATTAAGACCCTTCTCTGTAAAGCTCTTTCTTCAAGTGATAATCTTTCCCTCTCAATTTACACTTAGCCTTTCCATTAAAACAGACCAACTTCAGAGTGGTCATTATCACTTCCTCTAATCCCTTTCATATCACAATCAGGAATCCTTACCTGGTTCAGGAACCTTAGGCTGGGGAGTCAAACTGGGAATTCCTGGCTCCTTTTCCATCTCCTCAATGCTGGCACTGGATTTATCACAAACAGTCAATCGTGGCCCAACTGAATCTAAATGGCTGGCATGATTTGGATCTGTCACCACATCCTCCAGGATGTTCGTGGAAGGAGGAGGTCTATGCTCTGGGAACTCATCCCCCTTCTTTACAGGGTCAGCAG